AGAATCCCAAGGCTGCAGGGAGAACTTAAACTCTTCCAGCTGTGGTTTGTTGAGTAAGTCATCAGCAACAAAAGGAGGAAGAAAAACATTTATTCCACTTGGCTTAGGGTTCCCTCTCCCAACTTCTCACCCAAGTCAGCTTACTCTAATTGACAGTCATTGTTTCCAGAGGGAACTCTATTAGGGGAGAGAAAAGACGCATCCTGTTGGCACCACGCCCCTCCAAATGTGCCTCCCTCCTGCCTAAGTACAGGTGGTACCGAAAGGAAAAGAGAACAGGGAAAACCAGGGGTGGGAAACCAGGCTGCCAGCTAGCCCCACCCCCCAGCTTCAAGGCCAGCCTCCTTTCTCTGCTATTCCAACATATGTCAGTGTTAGCCAGTGGCCACTGGCGGGGAGAAGGGAGGAGAGGCTACTCCTCCTCTCAAGCTCTTCCTAGAATCCTCTCCTTAGCACCAGCACAGCAGCCAGAGGCAGCAATAGTCTAACTTTATTGTTTCACTTGTCAGTCCTTTGTCCAATAGTTACAAACCAGCAGAGCTAGAAGGCGCCTCAGAGATCAATCAATCCATTCCCTTCATTTCAGAGATTAAGAAAGTGATAGAAAAGGGGAGTGATTTGTCAAAGATCTTGGAGTCAGCTAGTGAGAGAGCTGAGTAGAAACCAGCTTTCCTGACCACCAATCTAGTGCACTCCAAAAGCACACTTCTGACTATTCTGGAAAATAAGCCGGGGTGGGGGGGGGGAACCTGTACACCCCCCTCACTGCTCCAGCAGTGACCCTACTTTCCAAGTGCCTCCCACGGTAAAGTAGAGAAAGGGAAGGCAGGCAGGAAGAAGAAAGGCCCTGTTACGGCCACTGGGTTGGGGAAAGGCAAGGCCTCATACTGGGCACAGAAATGAAAAAAGGAAGAGGGAGAAGTCTGCCTGGCCACTCAGCACCCCCCACCGAGAAAGAAAAGGGACGAAGAAGCTAAACCCCAGCTCCTGCTCCCTCACTCCCTCCCCGGCCTGTTCTCTCCCACTAATTATCAGGGACAGGGAGGGTGGGGAACGAAATGAGGCAGAGGGCAAAGAGTTGGTGCTGTCCCCACCATGGCCGCCTGCAGCAGCAAGGGGAAGAGAAGACTACAGGAAGCTTTGGCCATCCCATACCGGCTCATCCCCTCCTCCTGATGGGCAGCAGTGAGAAGAAGGGAGTGACGCTTCACCCTTACTCCTAGACCCCCTTCCTCTCTCCATACTACTCCTTCTTCCCCCTTTTCCAGTATATTCTCCCATCACTCACTGACCTAAATGGAGGAAGGGAGATGAAGAAGGCTCCCCCCAGACTCCTCCCTTTGTGAGGAAGGAGGGGAAAGAGAGCAGAGTCAGCCCCGCCTTGCCTTCCTCCCTAGTTCTAGCATGTTCTACCATCAATCATGGTGGAGAACAAGCAGAAGAGCTGCTGTCCCGCCAATCGCCAGCTCAGCCCTCCTCCTCAGACTCCTCCTCCTGCGCCACAGCGACTGCAAGCACCTCAGCCCCGCCTCCCCTTCAGCCCCTTTTTCTAGCATGTTCTACATAAGTCATTGGTCCCTGATGGCGCCGACCCAGGCTCCTCCCTCTGCGCCGTGCCCCTGGTGGTGCAGCCCCCCTCCCCCGAAGCCCTGCCTCTCCTTCCTGGCGGAGGGGGAGGGGCAGGGGCCTTCCCTCCTCTATACAATTGCCCCCCCAAAGCCTGCCTTCCTTCTGGCCCTTCCCTAGCGAATTGGGCTGTGTGGAAGGAAGAAAGAAGGAGAAATGGGGATTAGGCTTTTGTGTCCCCCTCCTCATCCCAAGTTCTCCTCTAGCTACCTCAGGTCCCAATAGTAATGTAGGACACTACATGGAAAGCAGCAAGCAGGGAAGCTTGACGCAGGCTGCCCTCTGCTCCACGTGGCTCCCCCTCCACTTCAGAGGCAGCAAAGGGAAGGGCTGGATGTGGCGGGGGAGGGGGGGGCCAAAGGCGAGAGAGCCATGTGTCCCGGTACCACCCTGCCCATTAATAGGGCCTCAACGTAGCTGCACCCCCCACACTCCAACCATATCAGCAAGAAGCAGAGACACGCCTTAGCCGACCTCCCCTTGCACTCCTCTTCTGGATGTTCCAGCACCAGTCCCAGAAAGGAAGGGAGGGAGCAAAGTCCCATCCTCCCAGACACCATTTTCACTTCCTCCCAGACTCCTCCTCCCTCCCAAATACCATCAACAAGATGGAGGAAGGTGGAAAAAAAAAACCCAAAGCCTTTGCAGCACCCCACTTCCCTCCTCTCCTCCGCCAGCAGGGGTCAGTGGAAGCAAGGGGAAAGGATGCCGAGAGGCAAGACAAAGGTTGTCTTCTAGCTCTAACCACTGCAGAGCTGGGCAGGCCCAAGGGCTTCCAGCCTCATGGTGGCAGCGGATGCAGCAGCAGCAGCAGCAGCAGCAGCAGCAGCAGCAGCAGCAGCAGCAGGGGAGGGGAGGGAAAAGGAGAAACAAAAGCAGCCTGCTCCAGTGCACCATTGACAACAAAGGCGAGAGGAAGAGTAGAGACAGGCCTGCGTGGCTGTCACTCCCTGCTCCCTTCTCTTCCCAGGAAAAGCAGGGTCAAGGGGAAGGGGAAGGAGAAGAAATGGCGATCCCAACCGACTGACTGATGCTGTTTCCCACCTCCAGCCTCTTTTTACTTTCTTCTGAACAGAATGCAGGCTGGCTGGCAAGTAAGGGGGAGAAAGCCCCATTCTGACACTGTTTCAGCCATTCCAGGGATACTGCTCCTCCTAAGAGCAGCAGCAACAGCAGCAGGAACAGGGAAGAGAAAAAGTGAAGAGGGAATAAAAGAACCCCAATCTTGTCTCTGCCATTCACGTCCTTTTCTCTTTCCCTTCTGCCCCATTCCCTGATACAAGCAGCAGCAAAGGGCAGAAATCCATCCTGTATTCTCTCCCAGGCCATAGCATCCCCCCAAACCCCTGATTTTCCCCTCCCAGTTCCCTCCTTACTTCTTGTACCCAGAGTCCTGGTATAAGTCATGGACCCTGGGCCCTAGGGCATACCACTTATGGGTCAGAGTTAGGAGGACCTTTCCACAGCTGCTTTGAAGGCAGCAGGCAGGGAAGAGAATACCAAGAAAACACATGATATAGTTTTCCTTGGACTCCAAATCATACGCCATTTACACTGTGCCACACAACCAGAATAGTGAAGGGCCTAGAGCTCTTCACTTACCCAGGGGTCTAGGGATCGATTTCAGGGGGGGGTCTGTGAACTCAGATGGGGGAAAAATACATCTTTATTTTCACTAACCTCTAACTGAAATTTATCACTTCCTTCAGTTGTTTAAAAACACGATTCTGAGACTGCCCAAGGGGACCAACACAAAAAATGCCAAGGATCATGCCATTCCAATACTAGTTGAAGGGCTGCTGTGTCACAGGAGATATTATGAGACTTGTGCCACTTAGGTTGAGTAGAACTAGAAACAATGGGGGGAAACTGGAGAGAAGGAGCTTTTTATCTAGATAAAAGGGAAAATCTTCCTAACAATTCAAGCTAACCAAAAGTATATGATTGGAGAGATATGAATTGTTCATTACTACCCTCTAGCAATATAATAGAAATGATGCTACTTGAATTACTTTATAAAGTTATAAAGTTAATGCTATACCGAACAGACTACGAAGAAGTTACCTTATAGAAACAGATAAAATAAATTTAGAGGAACAAAAGGTCAAGAATTTAAAAGGAAATAATGAAAAAATAGGAATAACCAGATTTCAAACCTCATTATAAAACAAAAATCATCAAAATTATTTGGTTCTGGTAAAAAACAAAATAGAAAAGTTAATCACTAAACAAGATCTAAAAGCAAGTAACCTCAGTAGCCCGGGGTCCTATAAGCTAAAGAACATAATTCTGAGGGAAAGACTTCCAAATCAACCAAAATTGTTAGGAAAATTGGAAAGTTATTTGAAGAAAATTAGGCTTAGACCAGCATCTCTCCATATCACATCCAGCTATATACCTAGGCCATCTTCCCCTACTTAGAACAGCACCTTCTGGGCAACACCTCCAGAAATTATGTCCTCAGCCCCTGGAATAGTTAACACACTAAACTTTGGAAGTCCTGCCCTGGAACTCAGTTATCTTGTTTGATGAGGTAAGAGGAATAAATTCACCTCACTCACCATATCTAAGGAGCCTCAGATCAAACCATTCTTCACTTCCTACTCAGCTGCCACCTGGCCATCTACCTTGCTGTGGCTGGCATGTCCTTCCCCCTTCTGCTCTGGACACAGTAAGTACATCAATGCTACCATAGCTTATGGATAGAGCATATAAGTTGGCTGCGGTCAGGATCAAATCCCCATCTCTGGGACTTCCCAGGCCACCACTACCCTATCTATGTGGTATCCTCCATTCAAATGTTAGCTCCTCGAGGGCAGGGACGGTAGCATTTTGTATTTCTATTCCTAGAGTTCAGGCATCTAGTAAGTACTTACATGCTTTGTCATTCATACACTGAGAAAAGCACCATTGGGACAGTTGATTCCAGTCAACAAGCATTTATTCAAGGGTCTTACCTGGCTAAGCACCGGGAATACTGAGACAGGAGACACCCCTACGCCCCCAAGGGCTGGAAGTCCACTGTGAGAAGTGGGGGTGTGGGAAAACGGGACATGTAAACAGACACGTGTTACGTTCAAAATAAAGACAAGATCGTTATTCAGGGGAGGATAGGGCAGCACTCCCAACAGGGGAATACCAGGAAAGGCATCTTATAAAAGTTCACACTTGAATTGGGCGCACAGTTGCAATCATTTTTGTTATTATAGGGGACATAATATATCTTCTTTGGTGTTCAGAGATACAGCCCCATTGTTAATAATTAGGAAAATTGTGATGCTGGATTGCAAAAGTATGAATCAAAGTTTTACAAGTTAGTTGAACTGCTATTCAAAGTATGCATCTTAAAAAAAATCACAATAAAATCTGGTTACCTCGTTAGCCAAGTTTATAGTTTCGAGAGCCTTGTCTTGATATTGTTCCCAGTCCCAGTCCAAGTAAGTATTAGCAAGCAGGCGGAGAACTTTGGCCTACAATAGAAGACATACACATGGCTGAGGGGGAAAAGGCATTAAAATGAGAGAAGGAAACACTCAAGCAATAACAGGAGTTTTCTCCAACCCAGAGAATCATTAGAAGAGAGGATATCATTACGGGCCCCCATCACCATGGGATGGATATCATTTCTGGGGGATAATTTGGGACACTTGCAATCAGCATGCCACCACAACACAAACCAAGATATTATCTTGGGGGGGGGGGAGGAAGAAGAGCACAGAACTCTTTGCATTCTAGGCTTCTTTATATCAAATCTAATATATACTCACTATTTTTCATAATGTCTCACAGGCATTCTAAGAAAGCCTTGGTCTCTCCATTTCACAGCTCAGAAAACTGAGGCATAATGACCAAGAGTCATTTTAATATCTATTATGAAGCAATAGCCTGTGTAGCATTGCTTTGAACCTACCCAGTCTAAGACAAAAAAAGACAAGCGCCACCCACCCCAGGAGTTGATAGAGGACGGCAAGCTGCTTGCTAAAGTGCTCATGAAAGACACCCCACTGAAGCCAGAACCATGCCAGCAGGGCACAACTCAATCACTCCCAGGTAGACTGGTAGACATAATGAGAAAGATCAGAGAAATAACTCCATTAAGGTGGGGGCAGGCCTTTTCTGAAAACCCCATTCTTTTCTTCCTTTGAACAGCATAAAGGCTTATTACATGAATTGACAATTCTGGCACCAATTCTACACAGAATTAAAAGACCCTAGGCCCATCAAACCTATGTATGGTCACTCTGTAATTCCCATAGCAGAGTCTGGCAAACACAATGTACAAAATGTCCCTCCCCCCTTCCACAATGTTCTTCTGGTATTGAAGAAGGTACCCAAATCCTATAATGCCTTTTTTATACAACTATTTAACCTGTATGTGTGGAGAAGAAATCTGTTTGCAAAGTCAAACAGGAACAAAAAGAAACATAGCAGAACAAAGACCTCTTCTAATATATCCTCACCAGGAAAAAGTAGGAAGGAGTAATAAGAATAATAAACATTTACATAGAACTTTAAGGTTTGCAAAACCTCACAAATATCTTATTTTATCCTCACCAAAACCCAGATAAGGAAACTGAGACAGATAGAGGCTAGAGAAGGAAGGGGGAAAAAACCCCCAAGCATTTCTATAATGCCTACTACGTGCCAGGCATTGTGCTAAATGTTTTACAAATATTATCTCATTTGGTCTTCACAACAATCCCGGGAGGTAGGTGTGTTCTCAACCCCATTTTACAGCTGAGGAAATTGAGGCAGACAGAGGTAAAGTAACTTGCTAGTGACATAGCTAGGAAGTGTCTGAGGCAGGATTTGAACTCTGGTTTTCCAGATTCCGGGCCTGGCCCTTTCTACTCACCACACCACTATATAATTGTTGTCTTTTTGCTATCAGCATAGGCCGGTGGGCAACAAACAGCTAATAGCAGCTTACTGTGTGCCAGGCACTGGGACACAGTGCTGGGGATAAGAACACAGACTATGTATTCTGCAGCTTGAAGACTGAGGAGCACAGGCCAGTTCATTGTTTTTCTTCGGATCGGGGAGTTTACCTTTTACCTCCTGTTACTACTTCTGGATTTCAGAAGAGTAGACTTTATCTTGCAAGTTGTAGCCACCCCTGTCATCCCCAATATTTTACCTGCGTCTATGATTCCACATCTCCCTCTCCTCAGAAGGTGTTCCAAGTCATTTCTCCTCTCTTTACGCCCCCTCCCCCCTTCTCTTCCAGTTGAGGACTCTGCCCCTTACTTTACTGAGGAAAATTAAAGTCACTGTGCATAAACTCCCTCTTCTTCCCATTCTTTCCATCTTCAACGCTCTCCTCCTCTTCCCTAGTTTATGACCAAGGTGTGGCCTTTCTCCTTCCCCACCGTAACACAGACTCCAGAGGACTAATGATGCTTCGTGCTCCCCACTTCCTGATAGACAGGTGAAGGACTCAGAGTGCAAAATGAGCCATCATTTTTGGACATGGTCAATGGGGAAAGTTATTTTGCTTCACCATACACGGCTGTAACAAGAGTTTTTTTATGTTTTGAATTGGGGTGGGAGGGAAAGGAGGACAATTTTTGCTGATTGAAATAAATATATATTTTTAAAAGTTAGATAATCTATGAGTGTCTGAATTTATTCCAGGCCTTAGCCTGAACCACCACACCAGTCTGAGTCGGGCCCAGCCCAGAACATTTCACATTAGTTCATAGGATTGAATCCGAATGACCTCATGGTTGATGTAGGGAAAGGGTAAGGTAGAGGAAGGAGAACCCCAGGTGATCACACGAGATGATATAGAAGGTCTTATACCCAGTGGCCACCATGTTTCTGATAGCACTTCTGGGTGTATAAATACTGCAAGTCTTCTCAATGGGATAGAACCAGAACCCTACTGACCTAGTAAGATTAGGAAGTAAGCTATCTACTAACATTGAACAACCACAGACATATGTGAAATGTGCTTTGGGTCTTTAAGAACCATGCCCTAAAGATGATAAACAATGTAAAATAGAGCCTGCTAAATTTGAATAATTTTGCATGTAGGGGTAATTATGTTCTTGGGACCCACCAGCTGTGTTTGGGATTGGTTCCTTCCTGAAGGCTGTTAATTTGGGGATTGTCTAAGGATTGTGCTGAATGGAGTGCTCAGCATCTCTATATGGCATTGGGGGGTTGGGAGAAGGGTATTAAGAACTATGCTGCATGGTCTGTGTTGAGGCCTTGAAAAAAGAACATTTTAACCTCCCCAGAAGCCCTGACAACTTCACAGAACTAATGTATTGAACTCATCCCAGCTGATCTGCTGAGTTGGGGGGGGGGGCGGGGACAGGAGGAAGGCAGGGTTGAAGCCAAAGGTCAGAGGAAGGGTCCGTGTGGTTAGGTAAACTGTTTTGTCCAATGTGTTTCATTTTGTTCCAATCCTGAGCCTGAACCATCAGAATGGCCAGAATCAGATCTGTCCCAGAACAGTCCTGAAAGTTCTGTCATTTTTACCTTCATAGCATCTCTCCTCTGACACTGCCAACCCCCTGGTGCAGGCTCTCAAAATCTCACGCCTGGACTATTGCCATAGCCTGCTGGGGGGGGGGGTCTTCATGCCTCAAGGCTCTCCTTCCTCCAATTCATCTTCCAAAAGTGGTTTTCATAAATCGAAGATCTAACCATGTCACACCTTACTACTCAATAAACTCCAGCTGCTCCCTATCAGCTCCAGGAACAAATACAAAATGCTCTGTTTGGAATTCAAAGCCCTTCATAACCTGCCCCCTCTTCCCTTTCCAGTCTTCTTATACCTTACTCTTGGCCATGTACTCTTCAATCCAGTGACATTGACCTCCTGGCTGTTCCACAAACAAGACAACAAGATGGCTCAGGCTCTGGGCCTTCTCTCTGACCATCCCCCAGGCCTGGAATGCTCTCCCTTCTCTGCCCTGACTACTGACCTCCCTAGCTTTCTTTAAGTCCCAGCTAAAACTCCACCTTCTACAAGAAACTTTTCCCCATCCCTCTTAATTCCAGTGTCTTCATTCTGTTATTTTCTATTTATATATGTAATACACCCACCCACACCTTGCAATATATATTTGTTTGCATGTTGTCTCCTCCGTTAGATTATAAGCTCCTTGAGGGCAGGGACCATCTTTTGCCTCTTTTTGTATCCCCAGAGCTTAGCACAGTGCCTAGACATAGTAGGCATATAACAGAATACAAATACAAGCAAAAAGAAAGACAATCCCTGCCTTCAAGAAACATACGGTCTAAAGGGGGAGACAATACAGAAAAGGGAGCTGAGAAGGAGGAGCGAAGGGAACATGAGAACAAGGTGGAGAAGTCATCTGGGCTGTCAAGAACTGGGCCAAGATTTCAGATGAGCATGGCTGGCTATTCCATTTGAGGAACTGATGCATGAGAGGTGAAACCTTGGAGTCATATAAATTTGCATTTCTCTTTTTATCACAGATTTGGAATATTCTTTCATGTTGCTGACATCATACATCTGAAAACTGTTCCTATCCTTTTATCACTTACCTATTTAGGAATGGTACTCTTTTTTTTTTTAGGCATTTGGGGTTAAGTGACTTGCTCGGGGTCACACAGCTAGTAAGTGTCAAGTGTTTGGTCTGAGGCCACATTTGAACTCAGGTCCTCCTGACTTCAGGGCCGGTGCTCTATCCACTGTGCCACCTAGCTGCCCCGGAATGGTACTTTTTAATACGTTTGGTATCAATTCCCTATAGATCTTGGATATCATACTGTTAGAAATTTGCTGCAAATACTTTTTCCTCAGTTAACTGTTGGTGTTCTAAATCTAGCTACGTTGATTATATATTTTATGTAATCAAAATTGTCCATTTCATCCCCTGTAATTGCCTCTACCCCTTGTTTAGTTCGGAGAGACTTCTGACCCTTTTTAGGTCATGTCTTCATTCAGAACTTATTGTGATACAGGATGTATGATATATGGGTCTAACCCTAATTTGCATGGGACCCTCATTTCTAGTTGTCCCAAAAAATTGTGTGAAATAAAGAGTCCTTATCTCACTAGTTGGCGTGTCCTCAGGCTTCTTTCTTTTTTAATTTTTTAAGACTTGCCCAGGGTGACACAGCTAATGTTCAAAGGCCACATTTGAACTCAGTTCCTTCTGATTCCTAGGCTGCTGGTCTATCCACTGGGCCATCTAGCTATCCCATCCTCAGGTTTATTTAACACCAGAGGACTACATTTCATTTCTTTTGAATCTTATTTACTTAATCTGTCCAAATAATCAACCTCTTTTTTTTAAAAAAAATCAGTTTGTTTGTTTTATTGCTTCATGATATGATTTGAGGTCTGGCAGTTCAAGACCCCCTTAATTCCTATTTTTCTCATTCTCCTTGAAATTCTAGACCTTTTGGTCTTCCAACTTGAAAACTGTTACAGTGCTATCTAGCTCTATAAAAAATCCTTTTGGTAGTGTGGTCCATCATCCTTTTTTAT